CATGACCATGGAGACTGTCTGGACAAACGCTGGCTCTCTCGGCTAGGAAACGGAGATGAGCACCACCCCCTAGAGCCAGGCATGACTGGACTTAATGTCAAGGGGAAACCTTTACCTTTATTGTGTTTTATTATATTATTGCATTGCTTATATTCTTTTGTATTTTTTTATGGTAAACCGTGGAGAGAGCCAATTATTGCTGTAAGTACAGTATACAAAAACTTATATAAATTGCATAAATATGTATGAACACAGCCACTGAATTACACACTAAGTCGCCTTGAGATGGGTGAAATTATTGTTAGTATTTATTCTTTTATTAAAGTGTTATCCTGCCTTTCTGCTAAAAATGATGCTCAAAGAAGGTACCAAAACCAGAATCTGATTAATACATAAAAACAAATGATTTAGTACTGCCAAGTAATCTCTGTGACCACTTTAGTTTGTTTGGTCTCTTTACAAAAAATCATTAATGGGAGGGTGCTTTGAACATCATCTAGTCCAACCCTCTGCAGGAAGTACAGGACTAGACCATCCTCAAGGGATGGATGCCCAACCTTCTGCTTTGGGCTGAAGACCTCTAGTGACACCAAACGAAAAATGGTAAGTTTTATTTTATATTGTTATTTATTTTATATTGTTAGTTTTATATTGTTATTTTTGTATTATATTTTATGTTGTGAGCCGCCCCAAGGCTTTGGCGAATGGGGTGGCATAGAAATGTTTTAATAAATAAATAAATTTAATAAATAAGTCAGGAATGTCGGTTTTGCTGTCAAAAATGCAAGTGCACCCTGTTTAAAGCCCCAAATGCAAATACAATGTACCCACTGAAACTACTTGCAGACTGTTGGACCTGGACTCTTCTTTGATGTGAGCAACTTTCCCAGTATAATTTTCTACAAACACTGCACAGATTTCCCATACAACTACTGCCTGATTTACACAATTTTCCTGCACATGCAGAGCAAAACCAAACAGGAATCAGGCATGAGACAAATGCTCAGAGAATTTGAGTGGGTTTAAAATGGAAAATTGCACGTGGCCTTTGTAAAAACCAGGGTTCGAAAACAGCTGAGCTGCCATTGACCTGAAGCTCAGGTTCGCCCTACCAACAGAATCCTAGAAAACAACCTCATCAAGTAAAAAGGAATACCATCAATAAAGAGCTATGCAAAATTAAATGGCTTTTTAAATCATTAATGGTAGTAGCAAGAAAGTTGGCAATACTGATTTAGCACAGAGGAAGGCCTTCCCCGTGGTAGCCCCTTCTCCCCAGCTCTCCCTACCCAAAGAAGTCCACCTGGCAATCTAGCCAAGAAACACCTCCCAGCAGGTATATTTTCTATCCAAAATCCTTCACCAGGGATTAAGAGACTACTGCCAATAGATTAATGTGTTATTAATGCTTAATTCTGATGCTCCAGCCCCCATCCCGATTAAAACCTGCTTTAATTGCATTTCAATGCACTGCTTTGATCTAGAGTAATCAGTCCTGATCCTTATTAGATGCCCCATGTGTCTGGCCCAGTACAGCCTGAAATAGGTAGAGGATGTAGGAATCTGGGCAATTCCATCACTTGTAAAGCAGCAAAATACAATCTGTCTGAAAGAAACTTGGCTGACATAAGGAAGGAGAATGATGCAGCTAAAGAGGAACAGAACGCAACAGATGCTCAGGGAAGCAGGCCAACTTTTTCTGCCTAATTTCAGCCAGATGTTGACAAAGGCTGCAGAACCCAGCTCCATTGAATTAGTCAACAATTCCTTCGTTTTCCTTCCTTTCCCCCACAGTTTTCATAGTCAGAAATGCAGGTCCCTGGTCCCATTATATTGCTCAGGGCACTCGTCACTCTCCATTTAATTGCTGGAAGCATCCCTCCACCCTTCCCTATCTGTCTGTCTGGCACCTTCCTTCCTACACTGTGGCTGCAGCAGCAGCAAGTCAGACGTCTGGCAGCAGATGCTTGTACGATGCTTAGCTCAGCCATGCCTTTTTCTCCAGGAGGATCCCAGCACAAACATGTTTTATGCCTGAGAGGTTCTGATAAAAGGAAAAGGGTTTCCCAGGATCGCAAATTGCCGAACGGACATCAGTCCTCCAGCCCAGGCAATCCATTCTCTACACTCCAGCCTGATTCCGGTGCAGCAAAGTTGGATTTTGTTGGCGCCACTTGCTTGTATTCAAATTTGCTTATTTTGCCTCTAAGGGCACAGTCCAACAACCTGTGCTCCCACTGCACTTAAGCCTCTGAATGCACAGAAGACACTGGGGCAGACTCACATCATGTTTTTTCCCTAGATGGCAAGTTTTGGCAATCTAGAGGAAGTGCCGGGGAGGGGACAGCAAGTGAAGGGGACAGCAATAGGAATCCACAGCAAACCCTGAAGCCAGCTCCCTTGGCCTTCAGAGTCCCAGCTCCGAGATCCTATGATCTCAGAGCTGAAATGCCAAATAATTCTCTGGCCTTCCCAATGAAACCAGGAGCCAAACCAGGGCACTCTTGGTATATTCAGTCATTATATTTTAAATGTGAGCTGGATACCTGCAATTTTGCAGATTTCAAAAAATGCTGTGGTATTAAGAAGGGTGAATAATAGAGAAAAGGTGGAAAAGAGCAGCTGCAGGGAAACTCTCGGACTGGAGGCCACCTTGGAAGTACAGAAAAGAATGCATAACATAAAAACACCATGCTGTAAACACTGGATCTCGCTGCAGAATCTCTGAAGACTAAAATCCTGTGGGTATATTTTCTTTTTAGTGTAAAGCTAATATCCTCCAAAAGCAGCCATATCATGGATATTGCCTAGCTCTCCCTTTTTACTCCATGGCCAACTTCTTAAAGGGGTGTTTCCAAGTGAAATCTTTACTGGTGATGTGGTTACTTAATAATTTTTGTGAAATGTTTGGACAGTTTGGGCTACCGGGTGATAGAGAAATGTAGGAATTACAAATAGGAATTACCGGCCAGTGATGCCACAAGAGAAACTTCTGGGGCTGGTCTCTATTTTGGGTACATTTGACATAGCTATTGTTTAGTCTTCCCTTATTTGATTAAGGTGAGAATGCAAAGTGGCTGGCATCATTCTGTTCCCCCTGCTCTGTCTTATCCCCAAAAAAACTACCCTGTGAGGAAGGCTGGGCTGAGAGTCTGTGACTGGCCCAATTTAGTGGGAACACCTGTAACCTCCAAACTCTGAGGATTATGGGTATTCTGTGCAGAGGAGGAGGAGGCAAGGTCGCCTCCATGCCCTTCCAGCTCTGCAAAGCAGCTAGGCAGTCAATTTTTGTCCATTTGTCCATTTTGGTCCTACAGAGGGAGAAGGCCAACAACCTGTTGGGATACATCATACCTTGGCAACTATGGTCTCCGTCCCTCTCTGGCCCCTGAGATACCCCTACAGCCCCTCTCTGAGGTCACTCCTATGACCTCAGGGACACATGGCTCTGTGCCAGCTGGGAGGAGCTCTTTCCCAGAGTTGGAGCTGGGTCTCTGAATCATGCCGTGGTCCCCTAGATGCTGCCCAAAGGTCACTGGATTGCCTGGCCCAGAACCAAATCTCATTATGACACAAGCGCTTTGAATGAAAGTGATTTGAACTGGCTACATCTTTCTTTAGAAAAAGGAAAGCACCGCAGTTCCTGATTCAGGTCCGGATGCTGGGACACGAGAAGGACGTCCACCCTCCCCACATGCCAATTTTCCCATTGCATTGGTCCACCCACCCAAACTGGCATCTTGGCATGAAACAACGGCAGGGGGGAACTCATTTCCCCCATCCTGCACCACAGTTCTCACTCACATTGGGGTCTTTTTCTAAAGACCAGTCTGGTGAGCCAGTGTGGCGGAGTGACACTGGGTGACTTTGGGCCAGTCACAGACGCTCAGCCTGACCTGCCTCACAGGGTTGCTGTTTTTTAATCGCTTGTTTTCTTTAAACAAATAAAGTACAGAAAGGAAGAGAAACAAGAATGCCAAGGGATCTTACACAAACAGGCACCTGTGAGTCAGCTCCCCAGAGGAGCTCTAGTGCCACCTACGCCATTCTCTTTTTGGTGCCAGATGAAAACATATCTCTTCATCAGCCTTTTTAATAATTTTAACAATTGATTTTATTAATGGGTTTTTAATTATTTATTTTTGCATTTTAGTATCTGGTTGTCCATCTTGCCTGGTTATGTTTCCTGGAGTTAATCTGTCCTCTGTTACATTAGTATTAATCAGTTATTTTTAATGATAGGTTTAATTGTTTGGTTGTTACTTTATTCTTGTGCGCCACCTAGAGAGCTCATTCAAGCTGTTTGGCGACTTATCAATGTAAAAATAAATATACATTCATAACCTGCAGATTGCTAAAAAAAAAAAAAAAAATCCTGACCCTCACAGGGTTGTTGTTGTGGGGATAAAAGTGAGAGCAGTAGGACGAGAATGATATAAGTCATTTTGAAAAGGAAAAAGGCAGGATATAAATCTAATAAGATGGAAGGGAGGGAGGGAGGGAAGAAGTAAAGAACAAACAAACAAGACATAGCCATTTAAAGCCCATTCAGTAGGAAAGTTGCCATTTGGACCCCAAAAGCAAGTAAAGGCGAATACTTAAATTCATTTATTTCATACACACACACTCATACACCCCCCCCACCATTTGACTCAAAGGCACCCAAAGCTGCCAGTGGAACCCCTTAACGGGCCTGGGGAAATGCAGTGGGTGGCAGGACCCCCACTCAAACTTTAACTGGGAACACTGCCGACTCCGCAGGCTTTGTCCCCTGGCATTTGAGCACAGCCCCCAAACTCTGCAGTCGGCCACAGCTGTTCCACAGATGAAAAAGCATGCAGTGGCTGAACAACCCTCATCCCCCGCACTGCAGCCGAAGCTCTCTGGGCCAGGCAGAGAAGGCTGCTTAGGGACCTTGACCTAGTATTGCAACAGTTCAGGAAAGGGTTACACAGAAGGTGTTGTTACCGTCCAAGGGCTGAAATCACAGCGTTGCTTACTTGTAATATCAACCTCAGCATTTGCAAGTGGAGGCAGGTTAGGTGAGGAAAAGGCATTGAAACTATCTGCATCCACCTTAATCACCCGGTTTCCCCTGTACAGTTTATTATAAAAGTACAGGCACACCTACAAGGATGAGAAAAGAAACATGTCAGTATAGAAACCTTGTAATTAAAGAGATCCAACAGATTTTTTTAAAAATCATGTCAGACTCTTTCTTTAAATATAATGAGAATGATTTAGGACAGGGCTATAAATACAATGGGAATTCTGTAGGAAGGTGTATATTTTGCATGCTTGAAAAGTGCCATGTTTGTCACTTAATGTTTTGGGTATTGACTAATGAAACCGCTCGTGGTATTTCCTTCGAGGAGCCAATCTGGCAGCTGTCAAGGATTGTCAAGAACCTCTAAACTAAATTACAATGACGAGGGTGCTAAAAAAGGAGGGGTGCATGGGAGGTTACCCTAAGATGCACCTTTCCGGGGTACACTCAAGCAGGAGTGTGCAAGGAACACGATGTTTTATCATTCAGCGCTCAGTGTTCCTGACCACCCGTCATGCTGGCAAGGAATAAGAGTGTTGAATTCTAAAACTTCTGGATATCTCTCTTCTGTCCATCTCTGGATGAGGGTTATAAATAGCTCCACAAGTGGCTGGGAAAGCAAGGAGCGCTCTATCTCCAAATAGGCAAACAAAGTCAAGGCTTCGATGGGTCTCCCTGTCCTATCCCATGGGAAAAAAAAAGCCATTTCTTCAAACCACCATTTCAGTTCATCCTTTCAAACCACTGCTGACAGTCCCCTGGAAAGCTGATACAGGTTTTCTAAATACATGGCTTGAAAAGTCACTGTTAGAATATTGCTTTTCCTCCAAACTATCAAGATCTGTTTAATAACAGATGTCAAACTAGCGTGGGTTGTTTTGGTCATTGCCATTTTTTTAAAACATTGGATGGACAACCTGCAGCACTCCAGTTGTTTTCAACTACTTTTCCCATCAGCCCCAACAGCAATGCCAATGCTAAGCAACCACGGAGGTCAAAACACTGAGATGGCCATATTTTGCTCACCCACATTTTAAAATCACTGCAAGATCTATAATCAGTTACATGACTGGGAATCTGTTAGTTGCTGTTACAACTGGCACTGAGCTATACTGGATATGGTGTTCTTTTGAGTATTGCAGTTTGGTTTAAGGAAGCACTATTTGGTACCAAGGTTGATACGTTCATGAGACTGATACGTCTATAAAATGGAATGAGGAAGCAGAAGGACGGCTTATTGTGGTGTCCTGAAGCATCTCCCATAAACAACCCAGAGTTTGTTTTACATTTATTTGGCCATGCATGATTTCATAAAATTGAATTTAAAAGAAAACATAAAGTTCCGCTGATGAGGAGATAAGTCACCAATGGTGCTCTTTGTTGAGTTTGTCTATGCTGATTGTAATTTTTTGCACAGAAAAGACTGCGAGGGCAGGGGGTTGTAATCAGCAAGGAAAGAGGGGAAGTTTGGAACATGCAGGGTTGCAGGGGTAAGAACAGAGAGGCTGGAAGCAAAATCATAAGCTCACCTCAGGGATTACAAACAGGCCAGCGATCAGCAGTGCCCCAAGCAGGTTGGCTCTGCCATCATTCCTTAGTTCATATATGGGCACCTAGAAAGAGAGAAACACCCGTCAGTGGCTGCTTAAAACAACCCCCCTCCCTGGCCGAAAGAGAAGAATCAGGACTCCAGTAATACAAACCAAGTGCAAAAACATGAATAATGCATGAAACATTCTCTGATCATATGATTTATTGGAACCAGGACATATTTCTTCATCTAAATGATGGCAGATGGTGGGATTTCTCCTTATGAATGTAAAATGTATTCTCCCCCTGCCTCACAAAGTTATCCTTGAATTTTGCACAGTCTTTACATGGTGCGGGGAGAGAAGAGAACTCAGCATGGAAGAAATATTGCTTGCCAATATTTGGAGCTACTGGAGTGACCCAGAATATGGGGCTAGCGGGGCTACCCTTGCATAATATTTGGCAGCTTTGGCTAGTACAACTTCAGGCAGCCAGCTTCCTCATTCTTCTGCGACAATAGTAAATTCTTTTTGGTAAGCGACTTAGCACCAAGCAACTGTGATAGGCTCCTAATCTGATCACAGATGCCAAGAATGGTTTTAAGGGTAAAATAATATGTATGCTTAAATATGACTCTCTGAGGACTGTTCAGAGCTGTTGGGTTTTTTCTGCATACACATGCATAAAATGAGGTCCTAAATGTTTCAACCCAACCATTTCCTCTAGTGAAACCCCTCAAACTGCTATTAGCTCCAACAAAGACAAAAGACAGGTACCGATACTGTTTGTCGTTATGTGCCAACAAGTCCTCTCTGACTTACGGCGGCCCCATGAACAAAAGCCCCCCCAGAATGCCATCCACAGCAGCTCTTCAAGGCCGTGGCTTCCGTTATGGAGTCAAGCCATCCCCTATTTGGTCTTCTTCGGCCTTCAACTTTCCCTAGCGTGATGGTCTCCTCCAGTGAGTCTCACCTTCTCATGATGTGCCCAAAGTAGAAGAGCCACAGGTTTTTTGTTTGATTTTTGCTTCTTGGGAAAGGTCTGGCTTGAACCTACATTCTTCCTGGGACTAATAGTAACCCTTGGAAATTATAATCAAAGCAATTAACCATACTCCACCAGAACTCCTGTTGTTGTTAGTTGCAAAGTCGTGTCCAACCCATCGCAACCCCATGGACAACATTCCTCCAGGCAGTCTTGTCCTCCACCATCCCCCGGAGTCCACTTAAGCTCACACGAACTGCTTCAGTGACTCCATCCAGCCACCTCATTCTCTGCCGTCCCCTTCTTCTTTTGCCGTCAATCCTTCCCAGCATCAGGGTCTTCTCCAATGAGCTGTTCCTTCTCGTTAGTCGGCCAATTAAGGGCCTCATGATTCCAAGCCCCCATGACACATGCCGCTCTACTTCATCTCCCTGACTATGAAATACAAAAGGAAGCACACCTCTTGCACGGCTATTGTGAGCAGGAATGAAAACTTTGTCATGTCCACTCACCAGTAACCATCCCTGAAATCATCTTTTAAGGAATTGTCTTACCTGAGACCCTGTTAGAACGATGGTTTTACCCAGGTTCTCACACATGAAGGACAAAGCCGCAGCTGTATAGGCCATTGTATCTGTCCCATGAAGGATCACAAAGCCATCATACTTCTCATAGTTTGCCTGTTGATGCAAAATGCATGTTGTGCTTAATAATAAAACAGAATAAAAAAGGAAGGAGATTACCAGCAGGAGGGAGTTAGATAAGACTGTATCTAAGAACAGTGGCAAGCGAGTTCATTTTAAAAATATTAATCATTACGTTTTCCCTCTCATGAATTGTTAGATAATTGTCAAAAGACCAAATGCATTGTGGGTGACATCATCTAAACAACTGAAATAAGGGATAATGGGTGGCAGGGGAAGAGAGAGAGGCATTTCTTTTATTTGTCGGCTTGCCTTCTTTGTCCACTTCCTCCTTCCTGAGCCTCTTTTTGCAAAGCCAGATGCCCTTCCGAGGGAGAATCTCTTATCTTTGGGTCCCGGCCCCTGATAAATCACAACCTCAGTGCTTGTGCAGTTCAAAATCCATTACACCCAACTGTAACCTCACAGTTGAGCTCATTCCCCAGCTTTTCTAGTCATTAAATCTTGGAGGCGTGAGGTGGAATGCATTTTGCCTCTATGGCACATGCATAAACGCTAAGGCGCCATTCCAGAATCTGAAAAACGGCGATTGGCTGGGATTTCCTTCCTACCCGTTTGTTTCCTAGCCTCAGTCTCCTGCTTGCCCAGGAGTGGAGTGCTCATGCCACTATAAAACATCCAAGCAGGGTAGCACTCCCGGGAATTCTGCCTGAACTTGAAAAAAGGAAGGAAGACGCAACATTAGCAAGCAAAACCTTTACTTCGTATGCAGTTTTTTGTGGTAACAGCACAGAAGAAAGCATCAGGGAGGTGGCTTCATATCTGCGTGGTGCACCTGGCCACACAGGTAAACAGTCATATTTGTTTTAGGGTCAGGTGAAGCAAATCACCACAGCTAGGTAAAATGGACAATGGACCAAATAAGAAAGCAGCAGTGGTGGGGCTTGAGGAATTGCTTCATGGAAGGAAAATTGGGATGGTGCAGGTGTGCAATATTTCACAATATCCCCATTTGCAAAATACTGAAGTATAAAATTGCTGCCCAGATGTAAGGTTCCTTGCAAGCTTGCAGTCAAACCATTTTAATGGAGGAACGCGGAAGTCCATGTGAGGGTTGGTAAAGGTACCCAAAGGACGACTGTCTGGTATGTTTTTATATTTGTTAAATTATTTGAATGCAATACAATTGTTCAAGAAAATGTAACAGGAAACTTCTGGTTTTGGCCCTTGTCATTCCAGCACTGTGGTATCTGCTTAATGGCCAGTGGAAGCTGATTTTCTTCTTACTGAACTGGCAAAAGCCATCCCTTCCTCCCTGCCCATCCTGACCCTTAAATCACCATCTTTCAAAACAGGCCATAACTCATTGCTAGAGCTGCTGTTCCAGATGCAGAAGGTTCCAGGTTCTCCGTTCTTTGCATCTCCTGGTTCTCAGGGAACAGGACTGGAACAGAACACTGCAGCATGATCTCCAGGTTTTGGAAGGCTGTTGCACAAGCCGCTTTCAATGGGCTCCTTCAATCAATCAGCCAACCTTCTCGTCGCCATTGTCATCCCATTCCTCCTCATCCTCCCCCTGCTTCTTGCCTTGCAGAGAACCAGTGAACCTGCAGGCAAAAGCATCTACAGATGGCCTGCAGTATGGTCTGAAGGCTCGTAAGGCATCCCCCATGTTGAAGCTAAGCAGGCCTGGGGCTAGCCAGGGCTTGGAGGGGAGACCACCTGGGAAATGCATGGAGCTAACCTGAGTTCCACAATGGGAGAAAGGTGAAATATAATCAATCAGCCCATTGCCCTTCCTTCCCATCACCACAGCTGCCTGGGCTGCAGCTAGAGGCAAGGGAACAAACAGGTTGCAATGATGAACAAGAACACCAGAGGGTTCACGATTTGGGCTCTTGGCCAGTGCCCAGTCATGCCGACCCTTGACACCAGTCCTGGACACCTCTTTTATACAGATTTCAAGGCCACTGATCGCCTGAAAAGTCAGTAAAGGGATGCACAAACCAATGAACTGATTAGTGTAAGTTCTCTGAATATTCTTATACAGCAAAGGGAAGGGCTCATTTATTCATAATGGGAAGTGACAGATCTGAGTAAGAGCCTGAAATATTGTTGATGGGGCAGGCCTGTTTGCTGACCAGTGCAAAATGAAGTTCTACCACTGGGGTCTTTTTTATTTGGGTATTCCTATCTGGCTTCCAGCAACGCTCTGACTCTAACATAATTCATTAACGAAGAATACAGTCAACATGAAATCTAGTTCTTTCAGTGGCTAATTATGAGAAAATTCAAAGACCTATTCTCCAACATATACATATTAATGATGTGTCCTTAACCAGAGGAAGACTGCTAATTAAGAAAAGCTTAGCTGTGGCCTTAAAACAGGAATGTTAACATATGCAAATGAGTCGTATGATCTGATTTCTTGTTGCTGGCTTTTAGTCTGTGGATTATATACCATTTATGGGAACCGATTAAGCAAACTGGAGCTATTGTCCTAGCAGGCAAGGAGGATGTCACGCATCCAGCTGCAAGAGAAGCAAAATGCTAATATCAGACTGCCCTCTTCTGGCCAGAAAGCAACACGGCAATGCATTAAATACAGAGACATACAGGTAGACAGAGACATACACACCTGCATTCTCAAGCAGCATCTGGACCATTGTTCTATTTGGTGCCAGAGATACAAAATTAGCAGCTGGACCTATTCTATCTCACAGATCCCTGCTACTGCAAAAGATGGTTAGCTCCAGATCAGTGCTTCCCAAATGAATGAGAAGCCGCTGGTGCAGCTAGGAGCCAGGGCCCCGGGCCCAAATGGCCAGAGGGTCCCCAAAGCACCACCCAAATAAAGAACAGCAAGTGACAATAGTCCCCGAGCAGCAGAAGCAAACCCCATTTATCCCTGTAACCTCTGTGTGAGGGTCAAATGCAAAAACTGTGCATACTCAAAGCATTTTTCCTTTTTTAAACACAGTTAGCAAATACTGACATATCAGGAATGCAAAAGCAGTTCCAAAGCATGGAATGGTGTTTGGAGACAGGCAGAGAGAAAAGATATGGCAGTCGATCCACAAATCTATTTGAAATTTTAGACAGAAAATCTAAAATCACCAAGCTGCATCCCTATAAAGAACGTCTGGTTCCCTTCAGCTGAGTTAGATCAAGGGATGGTCCTAACCAGAAGTTTCTGTTGAGATGAGCAATGAATCCCTGGGGTCTCAGGCACGGGTCTTTCAACTACCTGCTCCCCAAGACATGCTAATCTCATCTCTTTCTCAGTGCTCCTCACCATAAAACGCAAGTAGGCCTTAATGTGGACCTATTAGCCAGTTTTTAGAGCAATCTTCAACCTGGTAACACAATTATAGACTTGTATTTGTCATGGGAGGCAGGAATTAGTGCCACCCCGGGCCATCATTTGAGGTCCAACTGCACCCCATGGAAAAGACTTCAAGGGTCAGCCCCTAGCAGGGCTGGTGGACCTCAGTCTACAATCCTGGACCGCAGAAAATCAGCATTAATCAGATTGTCACACGAGCCATTTCCCATCAGTGCAGCTCTGAACTGGAAAGACCAATTGTCAGCTATAAGGCAGCTTCCTAGTTATTAATCTTCCTTTCAAGACACATAATTATTTACGTGCTTATTGATGTCTTATGCTTCTATCCTGCCTTATCCTCCAAGACATCACACACATTTAACCAATTTCATAATCACCCTCTTTTTCATTTTATCCTCACTACAACCCTGTGAGGTAGGATAGGCTGCAAATTTGGAGACTGGTCCGAAGTCACCTAGTGAGCGTCATCACCAAATGGGGATTTCAAGCTGGGTCTCCCAGTCTCAAGTCTAACCACCAAATCACCAAATCACCAAATCACCCTGCCTTGTCACAGCAGACTGGTGAGCTCTGGAAACGGCTGCTTGAAAGTTGCACCAAACAATTCATCAAAAAGGAAAGCTGAATTTACGTGGGAAGGTTGCCAATTCTTGCATCAGACATTGACTCAATAAAAAGTTTCTGTCACATGATTGATTTCCAGGGAATTTCATTATTTGTGACAGCCTTCCCTCAACGACTTCCATTTTCCCCAGCCAAAGCACACTTAAAACAGGGTGTGTGTCATATTTGAGGAGATCATGCAACGTATAAAAGATTCCCTTGACTCTGCATCAATATCCTAAAATGCTTGTACCTCCACAGCCCTGCTTGGCTGTGTTTGTCTTTTTATCCTGCTACTTGCAGGCCTCCAAGCGATGCTAGTTTGACCCTTGTGCATTTTTGGAATTGAAGCCTGCACATTTCACTTTCTCTCCAAGCCTCCAAGTAACGACCCTTCAAACATTCAGGCTAATGTCCAGGACACTTACGAAGGTTGACTGTGCTGTCTGTCAGGACTGCACCCCTAAGTTGTGCCTCAAAAGGATATGAGGCAAGATTCTGATTCTAATGAAGAGGGAGAGGAGAAGAGGGACAGTAAGAGAGAAGGGAGGAGCAAGTCAGAACGCCAGAGTCTTTGGCAGACAAGCAGAAGGGGAAATGGGCAGAGGAGATGTAAGGATGGGATATTAATTACGGAGGAAAGACCAGGGGTGAGGAAGGAGACAGTCTAAGCAGATGACTCTGAGAATTCAGAAAGCACCTTACAGGTTAGGGTTTGGGGATTTTAGTGAAGGGGGGCTTTCGTAAATTCGATTCAGCCTGACGTCAACTTTCAACTGGGTCCCATTGCATTCATGACTGGACTCTACAAGAAGCAAACACAGCTTGGTTCTTTTGTTACCGATTTCTGCAAAATGCTTAATCTGTAGAGAAAGGCAGGTTTGCTTGCTTGTAATTTGGCATAATAAATCCTACTGATTTAGAAACAGACATCAAATTCTAACTCACTGTTGGAGAGGGCAAATGAGTGGGGTGACAGAATGGAGAATTCTGGGAAAGAGCACAGCTGGCTGAAACCCTAAAACATTTTGTTGCAGGTTCCCACTTGCAAACTTTAAAATGCAGTTGTCCAAATCGACACACTTTGTCTCACAGCGCTAAACTTTGCAGTGCTCAAAGTTGCATTCTATTGCCACCTTCTGGTGAAAAGGATTTTAGCAGGATATTAAAATGCCAAGTTAAGGAAAGATGGCATGTTGTTTGCAAGAAACATGTACCAGGCCAATGCAAAAAGAAATGAATCCTAGCAGAAGAAAAGCCATGCTGGATCAGACCAAAGGGCCACTGAGCCCAGTTTCTGTGCTCACACAGTTGCCTTTGGGAAGCCCCAAGTAGGGGATGAGCGCAAAGGTACCCTAAGAGATGCTACCCAGGAACTGGTACTCACAGGCCTTCACCTGTATCAAGATTTGCAGCCACTGATAGCCCAAGAGTCCATGATCATGTAAGTGAATTGTGCAAAGCTTCCCTCAGACCTTGTTTTCCTCTTGACTCTTCCCAAAGGCCAACCTAAGAGCAAAAGCCTAGTTTCCGTTTACATCCTGCTCAAAGAAGATCCCTTAGAACATTTTGTGTAAAGCTCTTGCTTGATATAAGGGCTAATTGTTCAAATATTATGCTACAGGGAAAGTAGAATATCAAAATAACCTGTTATTGTGAGTGGGAAAAGCTAGCCATCCAAATAACAGAGTCTGTGCTAGTCAATCATGAAGATCATCAAGAACTGAGTATGTTGAAACATTTTTGCACTTTGCAGATATTGAAAATGCTGAAAATTTGCTGACAGAAGTGACACCTGATCCTTAAAATCAGAATTCTAGTGCGGATTGCAGGGTGATCAAAAGCAAATTGCAAGAATAATCCAGAATACCTCAAGGTGCCTGGCAATCTTGTCCCATTCAGCAGGTGTCATATTGGAAGAATCAAGCAGCGGAGAAAGTTCCATGATGGTGTAGATAATTCTTTTCTTTTGCTTAGAAAGGCTGTCAAAGAAACAACACGTTGCCCATTGAGCTATTTTTCTTGTACCACTTTTCAGCACCTGCTGAGCAAGCCTGCCAAGGAATTGTTTTGACTTGAAGACTCTCCTTGTGATAAAGTTTCCCATTCATGATCAATCTTCTCTTCCCACTTGCCTGCCATCATCTCCCAAAAATTTTAAGGCAATTCATAGTCTTATGAAAAAACCAAGCTGGCTGAGGCATGTTAGGGCTTTTTTTCTGTCTAAGCATGCCTAGGATTTCACCCTTAAGTAAATCTGTGTATGTCTGAATATACTTAAAGCAATAGCTTTGCAGAAAAAGGCTGTACACAATGTAGAAAAAGAATTCTTCTAACATGGTGTCTGTTTCCCATGATATTTTTTGTAAATACCTGTATTCAAAATAGTGATCTCTGTGTGTGTAGAGAAAGAGAGAGAGAGATTGAGAGAGTCTTTTAAAAATTAACAGGAACATTCTTCATCTAACCAAATAATCAACTAAGCATAGCAGCCCTAGCACCGTCTTAACTGTCAGTTTTCCAAACTGGCCAGAATCCAAAGATCCCATCAGGTTACATGTTCCTTCTGAACCCAGAAGCTCAAATTTGTAGTGTCACAACCATGGAACTGAACCAGGAGAAGACATTGGCTTGAACCCTGGAGATGGACACAAAATGACCTGGGAGGACATGTAGAGCAGGACCTCCGTCCAGAGGTTTTCAGCCTCCAGAATGAAATCCGTTCCCAGGCAGAACAGTATCTTTTCTATAGTTGATATTCTACGAGCATGGCTGTTATCGATGCAGACAGCGTGGGAAGCAGAAGACAGGGTGAGCGTACATGGTGCATGCGAGAGATCCCTACCTAACCCCTTGGCATCTCCCATGAAAAGGAAGTGACAGGAGAGATCTCTGTCTGAAACCCTGGAAAGTCAGAAAGGATGGCCTAACCTGATACACAGAATCTTTTCTCTATATTCCTGTACATAGCTAATGTCAAGAATACAAATGTTTCATTGTTACTGCTAAAATCTAAATAACAGAAACAGCAGCATTTAGTTACCCAGGGGCACTGAGATCAGAAGCAATTGTATATGTACCACATGCCCAGGCAAACCAAATTCTATATTAAAATCAGATGAATTCTGTAATCTTCAGCAATTATGCAAATTGGCATGTTTTTTTTTAAATTGTGCATAATTTATTTTGTTTTCCAAACAGCCTTATCCAGCCACTCCATTGGCTTCTTAGATTTCACTAAGCATTTAATCAGCCATAAGGACTAGAAACTTTGTCTTTTAGAAATGAAATTTTAGATACGAATCTGCTTTATTTCTATGGTACTTCTATGTACTAACATATACACACAAGATAAAAGGCTAAACATTCAGGATATTTAACAGAAACTTCAGAACGCCAGCAAGAGAGTATATTCTAGATGTTCCCAATACATACGGAAGCACCAAAGTGTCATCTCCAAGTTTAAACCGGCACTGGAGGTTCTTGGCACATTCCTCATCATGAAGAATTGGCATCTTCTTCAGGGCCCTGGCTAACTTGTTGGCTTCAGGAGCAAGACCTGAGAAACAAGAGAAGGAAAAAAACACAGGGATAAAACAAGTGTCTGTTTCTTAGCTGAACATTAAGTTTTCATATTAATTGTTCAAAGCATGCAAGGAAATGACACAGAGAAGGGCAACTAAACTGACTGGGTGGGTGGAGCTGCTCCCCTAAGAGGAGCAACTGTGATAACTGGAACGGATTGGCTTGGGGAAAAGGTGAGTCAGGAGAGGCACGATAGAGGTGTTTTAAATCATGCATGGTGTGGAGAAAGAGGAGAGGGAGACATTTTTCTCCCTTTCCCATAACACTTGAACCCAGGGTCATCCCATGAAGCTGACTGGTAGGAGGTTTAGAACAGATGAAGGAAATACTTCTTCACACGGCAAATAGTAAAACCATGGAATTCACTGCCACGGGAAGGAGTGATGGCCACCAATCTGGGACTGGGCAGATTCCTGAGGGAGGCGGCTATTGGTGGCTGCTAGCCTTGGTGGCCATGGGCTCCCTCCTTGACCAGAGGTGGCCTGCCTGCAAGCAGTTGCTGAAGAGCTTTAGTGGGAGCAGGTCTTGCACCCATCCTGCAGGAGGGATGCTGCAGGCAGCTGGTTTGTCTCCGTGTGCACAGAGGGGTGGACTAGATGGACCTCTGGTCTGATCCAGCACGGCCTTCCTTACATTCTTACGACACAACACGCAAGAGCTACTGGCCCTGTAAGGAAGATGTCCAGTAGAACGACCTTGCCAGAAAAGCCTTACATGCAGAGAGGGGCACATGGGAATAAGTGGTCCCTTGGAATACACTCCTAGGTTGGCTAGCACACCACAAGCCAAATGCATAACCATGTGCCTGCTGCATTAGTGGTGCGCGGCTGTATTGCTTTCACAAGCTGCCTGCACCAGATCCCTTGTGAACATGAGCCTGTGCCAACAGCTCGCGGAGAAGGTCCCTACAGGCTGCCATGTATTTCCTCGCCACCTGGAAGATGGTCTTCCCCATGGCCACCCTTAGTCTCTGCAACTCTCTGCTGGGAAGCAAAACTGGACTCCCTCCCCCCCCCCCCCCCGCCACCCCGGGATTATCTTTGACTGCGGTGCAAAGTCTTTCAACACAGCTGGCTCTTCTGCTTGGGAGAACAAGGGAAAGGGCAGTCCTCTGTTTGAAGGGCTGCCAGAGAACCATCCTGGACAGGAAGCCATCCTCCTTTTGTGTACTTTTAGAGCTCCATTCTAGGCATGTTTAGTCAGACTCCTACACCTCTCAGCATTTCGTTTTTCCTGTCGAAACATGTATATGATTACACCTTTAATACATTATACTTTCTAGTGCAGTTCTTTATCATGTTAAGGTTATGTTTGTTCACTGCTTTAAGGCTGTTCATCAAAAACAGTATCTACCATTATTATTGCTGATATTATTGTTGTTGTTGTTGTTGAATGGCTGCCTTGTTCAATTACGGATTAAAGAACAAGAACTGCTCTCCGTCAAGTTAACCAGCAAGGATAGGTCACTTTGCCAATCGTCCACACTATGATGATAAGTACTGTAGTTCCATATAACTTATAATTAGTATTTCTAAGAGGTACAAATTAGCACTTCTAACGTTTATGCAGATCAGTCTCCCCTTTGGTTCACTGAGGAAATACATCACCTGTATTTCCTCATTTTTAGCAATCCCAATCCTCAATCTGGATCCGTGAGTCACCACAATAGAGCCAGTCGAGGGGGCAGATGCTAAGGGGGAGGAGCAGCTGGGAGATGCTGGGAAGAGAATGAAGGAGATGAGCGGCAGGGCCTGGGAATGGGGGCCATGCTGAGACTCTGAGATGGAAGTGGGGACGCTTGTCTCAAGGCAGCCTCCCCAGGTGGGCAGGCGGTTCCTGGGAATAACCAAGAGGGTGGAAGGCGACTCAGAGCAGGGAAGCTTCTCAGACAAAGACCAGGCAGCCCCGGCTCTTGACCCCATGATGTGGCGTCGGCAGAGGAGGGTGGCCCAATTAGAGGATCCACAGGCAGTGAGGAGGCAGCTCGCTTCCCGAAGGTCCCTCTCAAAGGAATGGGGAATCAGGCGTTCTCATACAGAGTTCCTGGGGGTGAGCACTCGACTGGGTTCAGCAAACTGCTCTGCGCATGCTCAGAGAGTCATTCTGAGTGTTTTGTGCTTGTGGTCAACAAAAATGCATTGCAAGGAAAAGCTCTGTGGCTTGGAATGTGTGAAGGAGGAACCCCAGCTCCCAACATCCTGTTTTAAACGAGCAAATGGGCACAGGAATGTCCCGCTCACAGCATCTGGCCGCCAGCCTCCTCTTCTGAAAGTTTTGCCCAGAGCCTGAGGTTTTACTGAACTGTGCCATTGGGAGGCGCAGCCTGCCCCAGGTAGGTAAAAAAGGCTGAGCAAGGGGGGAAAACAGCAAGGCTGTGTCCCGTAGGAGGAAATGCACAGGCTATGAATGCTCTTTGAACCTCCACATGTCACTCCCACATCTTACAATAGAAAGCAAAGGAGAACCATTTTTTTAAAATACCACATAATCTGACCAGTGTGGCTTTTTGCAATTTTTTAAAAAGAAATTCTGATGCAATTTTTGATGATGACTATTGAGCCACCTGGTGTGTTGCAAACATTCAAATCCCAGCATTTGTTAACATACTACACTCTTCTGATGGCCAAACACAACAGTGGGTAATTGCCCAGAAGTCCACTCCAGATCTGTTGAGGGATTTTTTAAAAGCCGTAGAAGGGCACTAAAAAGCCCTCTACATTATTTATTTTTTAATGAAAACATGTTTATGCCGCCCCCATCGCAACAAAGCCTCGGGGCGGCTCACAACAATACACACACACACACACAAATATAAATTATACAATAAAAATATTAAAACCCAGTGCATTTCAGCTTTAAAGATTTAAAATCCTATAAATAACCAATAAATTAACAATTAAAATACATTTTAAATAAAAAGGTCTTAGCCTGGCGCCGAAAAACAAATAACGACGGCACCAGGCAGACCTCTCTGGGGAGCGCATTCCATAGATGGGGCGCCACTGCAGAGAAAGCCCTCCTCCGGGTACTCACCCTCCTAATTTCCTTCACGGAGGGTTCCCGAAGAAGGGCATCTGTTGCTGATCTCGAGGAGCAGGAGGGCATATATGGACGCAAGCGTTCCTTTAGATACCCAGGGCCCAAGCCGTTGAGGGTTTTATAGGTCATAACCAACACCTTGAATTGGGCCTGGACTTCAATCGGGAGCCAGTGGAGCTGACGGAGAACTGGGGTTATATGAGAACAACGCCCAGTCCTCGTCAGCAGCCTGGCAGCTCTATTCTGCACCAATTGAAGTATCCGGACCGTTTTCAAGGGTAGCCCCGTGTAGAGCACGTTGCAGAAATCTAATTGGGAAGTTACCAACGCTTGTGTCACTGTCGCCAGGCAGTTGTTCTCCAGGTAGGGACGCAGCTGATGGATCAGCCGAAGCTGAAGGAAAGCGCTCCTCGCCACCGCTGTCACCTGAGCTTCTAAAGGCAGCTCAGGGTCAAGGAGCACTCCTAAGCTGCGAACCCTGTCCCTCAGAGGGAGTGCAACCCATTTAGGACAAGGCCCACGTCCCCCATCCCGAGGCCCGAGCCACCCACCAACAGGGCCTCCGTCTTGTCTGGATTGAGCTTCAGTTTATTGGCCCTCATCCAGCCCATTACCTTGGCCAGGCACCAGTTCAGCACAGCCACTGCCTCACCTGGATTGGTGGAAAACGAGAGGTAGAGCTGCGTATCATCAGCGTACTGATGATTCCACAGCCCACACCTCCTGATGACCTCTCCCAGCGATTTCATGTAGATGTTAAATAGCAAAGTGGAAAAAATGGACCCCTGCGGAACTCCATGGCATAACTGCCATGGTGCAGAGCCATAGTCCCCCAGCACCACCTTCTGAAATTGGCCGTTGAGATAAAAGTGGAACCACCGCCACACGGTGCCTCCAACTCCCAATCCCACTAGCCTATTCAGAAGGACACCATGGTTGATGGTATCGAAAGCCGCTGAGAGGTCCAGGAGAACTAACAGGGACACACTCCCCCTGTCCCTCTCCCTGCACAGGTCATCGTACCGGGCGACCAAGGCAGATTCAGTGCCGTACCCGGGTCTGAAGCCGGACTGAAATGGGTCCAGATAATCAGTTTCATCCAAGAATGCTTGGAGTTGTCCCGCCACCACCCGCTCTAGCACCTTGCCCAGGAACAGGATGTTGGCCACCGGTATTGGCAGCCACCTCTGGATCCAGGGATGCCTTCTTTAGGACTGGCCAGACTACTGCCTCTTTCAAATAGGAAGGTACCCGACCATCTCTTAAAGAGGCGTTGACCACCTCCAGGATCCAGGTCTCAATCCCGTCCTTGGCTTTCTTAAGTAGCCAAGATGGGCATGGGTCTAGTAAGCAAGTGGTAGGACGTACTTGTCCAAGCACCTTGTCCACATCATCAAGCCACAACAACTGAAATTCATCCATTAATTGTGGACTCGATGGCGTCGTTGGCATCTCCTCAGTAGAATCTGGTTCAGTAGTAGAGTCAAGCTCGTGACGAATCTGAGCGATTTTCGCCCTGAAATGACTGGCAAAGTCGTCACAGTGGGCCTTCGAGGGTGGTACGAGCTCTTTCTTTGGGCCTGGATGTATCAGCCCTTGCACCACCCGAAAGAGCTACGCCAGACGGCATTGTGAGGAGGCAATGGAAGCGGACATTTGCCTGACCTATGCTCACCCTCCCACAAGTCTGCTATTTACCCCATGGTAAAACAGGGAGATCCACATGATGCCTGTAAACTTTGCCCTGTGGGGTAAATTGCAGATTTGGGGAGGGGAGAAAGGAAAGGAGAGGGAGGTGGTTTAAATCAGGAAAACAGCACAAGGGGAAAAGGTTAAACCTTCATCTCCCAGCACCTCAGCTCTGTTCCAAATCGGTACATTCCCCATGGCTGCTTGTTTAAGTTAAAGCTTATTTTCATGAGTTTGACAATGGCC